GGTCAAACAATAGATATTGATGTTGACAGTTCTGGTGAGGAAGCAATTTGTGTTGATCGTCTTCAGAGTTATGTTTTTACTTTCTTAAAGAATTGGTTTTGCTCCTAGCATAGTGTAACTGTTCTCCTACAGAGAACCCAAGAAAATGTTGTGGGCAGACAAGGAACTGACTGTCTTTCCTTGACCATCCACCACACCTACATCACTATCATTCTTCTATTGCACACAGCGCTTTGGGCAATGACAGTAAGGATGGTTGGAATTTCTTTTGTTCTTAAAAAATAAAAAGCACATTAACTCAGCATTTTCCCCTCCACTTTTGCATTTGACAGTGGCACGCCCCTTTCTCCCAATATCAAATCATATTTTGCTATATCCTGACACCCCCAATTCAAAGTTGCTTCCCCTCCCCGAAAAATATGATTCAAATATGGGAAAAACAAACATGGACAAGGATAGCTATGAAAAAGAAATGCGATCTTTGAATGTACTAGAGAGAGACTTTGGTTAAAAAAATAAAATAAAAAGATGTACTTATACACATAGACAGCAAATATTAATTCCATAACTGTTCAAATTAATGTTTTAAAATTCCCAATTGGTAAATAGCGAATGGGGCAGAGGAGCAAAGATTCTTCTTTTTCTTCTTCTTTTTTTCCCATTCTTCCTACACTGGATAAACAGGTACAGAAACCAGCCAGTTATATGTGACCCTTTAATCTCCACTCACACATGCTTGCGTCTCACTTGTGTCATAACTGCCCTATCTGAAAGAGTACATCACAGATGACAGATGCAACCATAGAGTTCAGGACAGCTGATATTGAGATATCCAACAAGCGGCCCTCATGTAAAAGGAATTCAGAGCGGTTTTCCTCTACCCGGGCCATGGCCAACAAGGCCTTGGCTGCCCTGCACATCATGTCCACGCTAGGTGGCTCCAAAGGCGGAGGCTGCATGTGCATAAGGTTATGCTGGCTCTGCTGGTACTGGGCCATGGTGACCCCATCCTCAAGGAAGCTTATCAAGTTTCCAATGCTTCCCTTCTGCACAGCTATTGCCCTTGCCACTAACGTGTCCCCTCGGGCGAGGTTTGATAAGAGCGCCATTGACATTTCTCGGCAGACAGGATTTTTGCGTTCCCCAACGTACCTAACTAAAGTAGCATACAGTTTCTCCTGACGACTGAATGGGGGCGTGGCCAATATAAGGTCCACATTATTGTCTTGGATACTGAGTTTACACAGGGTTTCCAGTACAAGTCTCTGAGGCGAAAGGATTGAGTTGGGCCCCACAGTTGGAAAAGGATCTTGTGCCTCTGCCGAGGGGCACACCATCCAGTGCAGTAAGCCATCCAAAATTGGCAAACAGATGCTTTCTGTATAAGCAGATAAGTCTAGCTGCCCAGAAATGTTGGCTAGTGTGACCAATGTATTATCCCTCAAGACTTCAAGGCAGTCCCACCACCACTCATCCTTGCTGCAGGCCACCCCTTTGTCCACTTCTTCCTCTTTTTCATATGTCTGTGGTGTACGCTTTCTTTCTGGGTGCTCATGATGAAGAAGAATCAACTTTCCCAAGATTAGCACCAAGCCTGCATGTTTAGACATTTCCACATCATTGCCAGGCACAAAAGATAAGCTACGGACAATATTTGACACACAGATGCAACGCTTGGCCAAAGAATCTTGCCAATGGGTAATGGTACATAGAGGAGTCTCATCTCGACTCCGTGGCTCATCTTCCAGCAGTTTGATATTTCGATGACTTTTCACTTGATGGATCCCAAATGGAAATTTATTACTATCTGTCTGAGAATTAGAGTCGGGGTCTTCAGACAATGCTCCTGGACGAGCTGACAAGACATCATCAATAGTGGCTGATATGCTTTTGTCTTGCTGTTCCTCAGATTCTCCTTTCCCCTCTATATTCTTCTTTTTACCTGAGGAGACTGATAGAGATGGCCGCCTGCAAGGAGGAATCTCCATCTTACTCTCAAAGTGGGTCTGAATATGTTCAGTTGTATCACCCCCACCAAGTTGCCAATGAAGAAGCCCACTGTTGAATTCCTGAACGTGCCCCAACCTATCAGATCGGTCAACAACAAATAAGTTGTTTTTCTTTACAATTTTTATTGGCAACTTGTCAAACTTACTGGCTTGTTTTGGCCTCTCACTTGGATCAAGAATGGCACCAGGTGGAGCAACAAGAGTGCTCTTTCCTTCCTCTGTGCTCTCAGCTTCATCTTCTTCCTCTTCCTCCTCCTCATCTTCCAGGTCATCAAAGTAATCAATACATTCACCATTGTTTTCTTCCTCTTTCTTGACATCCTCTGTTGCAGACTGCCCATCCTCATTCGGAGATGAATTATGATCTTGCAGTTTTGGTCCTGGATGTCCCACTTCATATTCCATAAGGATCCCAAAAATATCAATCAGGCATTTTCTAAAATATTCCACCAACAGCTCAAGAAAACCAGATAACTGAGGAAACAAAGAGGAAAAAGAAAACAGAAAAAATGGTAAAAAGAACATTTTAGTTTATTATAGAATTGTGAAAATAAGAAATGATTTGTTTTAGGAAAAAAAAGATCTTTAGATTCCCTTTTACACGATTCAGAATTGATTAGTCCTTTCTTCCTATTTAATCTGTAGATTAGAGTTATAGAGTTCAGAGCACACCATTATAAAAAAGTTAACAATTATGAATTCCTTAAAAGTTTACTTTTGAGTACTATTTCGTTTATGTGATTGTAAAAGTGAACTGAGTCTTCTTTTCAAAGAAAATTTTTTTCCTTTTCAAAGCATGTGAACCATTTACATATAATCCTGAGTTACAAGTATGAGTATAATGAGCCTTGATAGTGTAGTGGTTAGAATGCAATATTGCAGGCTAACTCTGCTCATTGCCAGGAGTTTGATTCCTTCAATCCTGACTGACTCAAGGTGGACTCAGCCTTTCATCCTTCTTAGGTTGGTAAAATGAAGACCCACATTGTTGACTGTAAACCATTTAGAGAGTGCTGTAAAACACTGTGAAAGTATATAAATCTAAGTGCTATTGCTATAATTGTATAATTATACAATTATTTGTATAATTCTTTGTCTTACCCTATTTTACTTTAGCAGTCAAAACAAGAAGACTCATAACTTTTACATTGACAGATTTGTGTAATACATGAGCAAAAACTAGTTCCATGGCATGACAATGTGCACCTTTACCTCCCCATTACATTACAGGAAAATATGCCAGTTGTTGATCCACCATCTATGAGCTGTATATCCTCTTTGGTCTTTGGAGGATTTGCCCTACTCCTAAGGGGAACTGGATGGCTCAGGCATTGGAAAACATAGCAGCAAAGAATGTGGGATTCCCCTCCATTTACAGAATGAATGGTGTCATCAAGATGAAAAATAACCAACCTACCTGTGAGAGATTGAAAGTAGCAACCGTACTATCATCATACAGAAGAATGTTAATAGTATCTAATGCCCAAGTACTTTCTGCAAGAAGGCCTGATTTAAGAGACATCATCACTCGCCAGGCTTCCGGACTCACTGAAAACAAACAAAGCAAGGAAGCATTTATTAAGAAGAAATCTGTAGCATTGGAAGCCGGAAAACAGAGACAATTTGTTTTTTTTAAAGATCAGAGTATTGTACTTGCACAAGTTCCAAAGTATTTCCAAATAATTTTTGATGCCCTATTATATAATCGTATGAAAAGAGCTAGACTGTTGTGAAACTGAAGGGATGATCTTCTCTAAAGCCTAGGAAATTGACAGAGACATTAAGGTTTTATCTCAGTTAATTTGGAAATACATAAGTACATGTGTCACACATGCTTTGTGGTACAGAGTGAAAACTCTGTATATTCCGATGAAATGCTCCACTTTCATTTTGTAAAATGCAGTTAATCTCCACATCTTTAGAGTAGGTGGGTGCAGAGAAAAAAGCAGCTTTACAATACCAGTAGAAGAGGTTGACATGGGAAATATCAAACTGCTCTATGTTTATTGGTTTCTTCCTCTTCAGAAAAATAAAAATTATGTTTGCTTCAGCACTCTTACAATTCTCACTTAAAGCATACAATACATTTATAAAGAACCAAACTAATTTTTGTTTTAAAAAACTGCTAGGTATTTCTCCCTAGGAAACAAATTCTCCTGGAGTTTCCTTTTAGGGAAGGAAAGCTACCAAGAATAAGGATAGTTTTTGCAGCTTGAGTGATATCCAAACATATCAATGTATCTCTGTAAGATGCAACAAGATACTATTCATCAGCAACTTAAGAAAATGGGGCATACACATCAGTGCAATAAGACTATCTTTGCTTTCTTTCAGGAAAGAAGATGACTGATCAGCATGTCCAGAATTTGTCAATATCATATCTCATAGATCAATTTTCCAAGCAACAGTACCGTTATACTACTCCAAGTCAAGCTTCCTCAGCTTTACATATATTTTAACTGTTTCCTTTTGTCAACAGTTACTACTCCATTAACAACTTTACTCCTTGAAAAGAAAGCTTTCAAGTTAAAATTTCAAGTTTTGTTTGTTTAAGTTACTGTATAAGATACATTATATGGGAATTCAGACTTTTGTTCTGAGATCATAAGCAACCATTAATTATACACAATATAAAATACTATGAAAATACATAATAAGAACAATATCATCTTAAAATAATACAATATTGTACCTCTTACCACCATTATACTTCTCTAAATATTCAGTATTCATTTGTATTTTGATGATACATAAATCATTATTCCTACCACGAAAAAAATTTGAGCTCAGCTTCAATTGAATAAAACTAATTTCTTAAGCAAATTAATAGAAATAAATGCAAGCTCTACAAAATTATTGTAAAAAGTTTCTTCCTCTGTAAGGACAATAGGAGGACTTACCGATATCTTTTGAGGTAATCTTTCGCCTTGGTTTTAAAACTGGTTGGGATGCTTCTACCGAACCTGGAGGAAAAGTGACTTCCCGCCTAATAGATGGTAGTGGTTGTGTTGGAGGACCTGTGACCTGCGAGCCTGGAAGAGTGGGCATAACTTTTGGCATCTTCATAGAGGATAGGAATGGAGATTTACTGGGAGACATACGATTTTCATGAGAGCGTGGGAAAGATGCAGGGCTAGGAGCTCGAGATATGTGGTTTGGCATTGATGGTGGCGTCTGATAGGATGACTGAGGAGGTCGAGTAATAGGCTGCATGGAAGCAGAGGATGACATGTAAGAAGGCTGTCGCTGGTTGACATGAGAAGGCCACTGGCTTTCATGGTTTATTCTCTGGTCAGGTACCATCATATCATCAGTACGATTCATCCCTGGATAAGGTGGGGCCTGTGCAGGGCCTCCGGGGCCTTGCCTGTTCTGATATGGGTAAGACATATCATTTCTTGTGGGCCACATGTTTTGTTGGGGGCTTTCACTGGAAGCTGATGACTGCATTGGGCCACCAATCATCTGTGGAGGTATTCCATGTTGTTGCATTTGTCCAGGAGCCTGCATCCTCTCTCTGTTATAAGGATATGGATACTGTCCCTGGATGGGTCTCCTGTCTGGTCCAGAGTAAGCACTGCTGTACTGGTTAAACATCTCCTGCTGTTGGTTGCTATATTGCATGTTAAACATATCTCCATCATGTCGTTTTGCTGGAGGCCCATACATGCCATCCATATGACGTTTGTAGTTCTGAAAAAATAGACACCAAATATTTAAAATAATATAAAATGTTATTTTTGTATGTTCTTATGCATTTGAGTGATAGAATAATTACAATATACTTACAATATTTTAAATACAAATAATCATCTTTATTTTCATTAGTATTTGAAAGATGTAAAATGACCTTTTAATTATTTGAATAAATATGCAAAAGGTGGTTGAAATTTTGTCCATATGTAGTGTGTAACATTTAAGTGAATAATGATTTTAATGTCAGACTATATGATTATGACTATAGGCATAAAATGAGGTACCAATTTCATTTTAGGAATTGTTTTGAGGTAAATACTACATTATAATTAAATGTCTTAATATTTTGTTTCCAACTATTAAGTTATGGGAGTGGGATCAGGAAGATGATAAAATGTATTTATTAGTTAAGATGTTTTTAGACTTTAGATTTTTTTTTNTGGCCTAGGCCATTTAAGAGCGCTGCGTAGGCCAATACATGCTCAGCCACAACATGAGAGCCTGTAGCATTTTTCTCTAGCACAAGATGGATACCAGAACTATGCCATATTTCTTGTCTAGGGAGACTATACCTGCAAAGAAAGAAGACCTATCTTTGACCATGTTCCACAGATTCTTTGAAGTTGGAAACATGGAAAAAATGCATTAAAAACACTACTTATGACTTGAATCTCATGATTATCAAGATTGGAAGTATAATACACTTCAGCTAGAAGGACCCCATCAAAAGATCTGCCTGCACTCTGATCTGCCTATGCTGATCTTGGGAGCAGGACCTATCATGTTCATTTGCATGAGGAAAATTGAAATTGAACATGCAAAAGAGAAAGTGTTGAACAAATTTTCTTTCATTAAAATGGTGCGATAGTTATTATATTATGAGCAATGAACTCCTGTGACTAGAACATTCTGGATGCTTACAGTATTGCTAATTTCTATGAACTTCCTAGCACTGCTTGAGAACCCAATACCCGAAGGTATCTTCTGCATCATTCTACTCGAAGGTTGCTCTCATTTATTTTTGCATGTTGAAGTGTGATGAGCATAGGTAATTCCTTGATTTGCAACCATTCATTTAGCAACTATTCAAAGTCACAAGAGCGCTGAAAAAAGTGACTTATGACTTGTCCTCAGCTTTAACAACTGGTACAACTTTCCCATGGTCACGTGATTGAATTTTGGGCATTTGGCAATTGTTAGGTATTTGTTACAGATGCTGCATTCCAGGTGGCTTTTGTCAAGCAAAATCAATGGGGGAAGCTGGATTTGTTAACTAGTTAACAAACAACACTACTTGTAAAGTGTGATTCACTTAACAAATGTAGTGCCTCACTTAACAACCATGGCAAAAACATCATAAAATCAGGCATGACTCGCTTAACAACTAACCTTGATTAGCCACAGAAATTCTGTTAAGTCGAGGACTAACTGTAGGTGCATGCTAGTCTTGCTAGATAATTTCTTTTGGAAACAGGTCTGTCAAGAATTGTTTCTCTTATTTGTTTCAGCACTGGGGAAAGAATCTCTTAATTCTCTTAGCCCTTCTTGAAAAATAGCCATTCTTTACCAGTTTGATCTCTTTTATTTCTAACTTTTAGATCTCTGACTCTTTTAGTCACTGTTTTGATTATTATTACATTTAATAATGTTTTTATTGCACAGCTATTTATAATTTTATAAGTTAACAGAAATAAATCTAAGATGATAAGTATAACTCGGGAAACTGATCGAATTTTATGGAGCGAGTTTCAACTTGTCGCTCCTGAGGAAGTGGACAAGGCCATGGGAGCGGTGA